CAGGATGGCGTGAACCCGGGAAGGGTGAGCATTTGCAGTGAGCCGAGATCTTGCCACTGCACTCATACGCTGCGCGACAGCGAGACTGTCTCAAATATAAAGAATATAAAAAAAAAAGTAAGATTTAAAGACTCTGATTGGTATTTTCTTTGTGTTGGAAATTATTGTGCATGGCGATGGATATCATCCAACTTCTTTTCCATTTATTTTTAAGTAAAAAACTGTCGCAGTGATTTACAGTAAGATTTCATATGTTTGGGTCTCATTTTTTCTGATTTGTTAAATGAGGATATAAGAATGTTTGCGATAAGTGTTTGTTAAGCGCGCGGCGCGAGAGAGTCTCCAGGTCTGAGTTTTCTGATTCGTGGTATTTTAGCCTCAATTAATTAATTCAGGTGGTCAGTTAATCCAAGCTTTTTTCTTTAAATATACAATGGAAAGTTTTAGTGACAGTAGGAAGAATATCAGTTGGGTTATAATATTTGGCAATCTCATTTAAAGTTTGGAGTTATTTAATTATTTTAAAACAAAATATATGTTTTACGTGGGTTGGTGGTGTGGTGTTGTGTGGGTGTTGTGTTATATAGAATGTAGTGTAGTGTACGTTTAATAGACTTGATTAGCGATGTAATTTTTTTGCCGTTTTGTATAGCTGGAGATGAATTCTAATGTATAAGTGGTGTGTCAGCCGGATTTCATGCCTATGTATATTTTTCCTGTTAATTAAATGATGTCATTGTAGAACTTATACAGTTATTTATGATAATTGATACACCAACGTTAAGTGATGCTGTAGTCTAAATAGAACATCTTTAGTGGAGTGGGTTATATGGTATTTAAGGTGGTGTTAAGAGTGCATTGTGTTTTCTCGAGAACATGTAATGAGGTATATAGTGATGTAGTACGCCTCCTGCCTCAGCCTCCCGAGTAGCTGGGACTACAGGCGCCGCCACCACGTTTGGCTAATTTTTTTCTATTTTTAGTAGAGACGGGGTTCACCCGTGTTAGCCAGGATGGTCTCGATCTCCTGACCTCGTGATCCGCCAGCCTCGGCCTCCCAAAGTGCTAGGATTACAGGTGTGAGTCGCTGCGCCCAGCCAGATCGTACTTGTTTGTTTATAACTTAACTGCATTATTTGTTATGAGAATAATTTGAGGGGAAAAATTCTCTTTTTTTCTGAGTCAAAGCAGGTTTCAGCCAAGGCATTTGTCGGGCTTTTAATATTTCAAGGTCAGGGATCTCTTTAGAAAAGGTAATGAAATGAATACCTCTCACAGAACAGTGACATACACAAACATATGCAAAATTTTGCAACCATTTCAGGGATTTTGTGCATCATTCAAACTATGCAAGGAATCCAGGCCATCATTTCCTTTAACTGAGAAATACAGAAAGGAAGTTAGGAAGAGAAATATAAATAGTCATTTCTTTATTCACTCTGTGAATATTCTTATCCTGTCAATATCTCCAAACAATCTAATTAATTTTAATTAATTTGTGGAAGGGCTCTATCTCCCAAAGAGGTATTTTCAGTTGGAATTAATCACTGCCTTAAAGTAATAATATTAACTTCATGGTCATAATACCCTAAGAGATAGCTTTAAAATGCATTATCTTTTAAAAATTACTGAGGATAAAGACTGAAAGAGTAATTATAAATATAGCCAGTCATTAACAACTTTCAAAACTTCCAGAGAACACAGTTTAAACGTGGATAATGTTTTTTTTTAAAAAAAACGGTCAGTAGAATCATGTATTACTTTTAAATGGGAAACCAAAATCATATACCTGCCCAAGTAGCACTGCCAAAGTGGCTTGTTTTGAGAAGCCAATTCCGAATCCTTTGCCCCAAACATTTTTGCCAGTAGTTTAACAACTTGTAGGCGCTCCTCATTATCATTGCTCTAAAATAAAACACAATCACAGCTTTAAAACCATGCAGTAGATATTCAGAATAAGGCTGCCAATTCTTTGCCACGATTTCCCTGATGCTCCAATTCCACAGAAAATCTTTCATGAACTCTAAATGAAAAATTACATAAAAATGCTCACTTTACTTCTCACAAAATTAAATGTCATCATAAATGCTCTAATTATCTCAAATTCCATTAAAGAAGTACCCTTTCATGAAAATACATCTTTAAAGTTTGTTCCAATGTTAGAAGCCCCTCCTACAATTAAGGTTTATTTCTATTCAGAGTCAAAATAAACTCTTATAAAACCTACCCAGGACCCTTGAAAAACTATGTGTGGTTTTTCAGAACAGACACTGACAGAGGCCAGGCCTACAGAAAATAGAAAACTCTGTGTGAATATACTTTTTAGCTCTATTAGTATGTGCTAAAGTCTCCCAGTAAGACACTTCATTTACATAGACCAGATTTCTAAAAGGAGCTCAACAGTAAAAAGAAGAGGACTTAAACCTGTGAAAACTCAAATTTGTTTTATATACTACACTGGGGACACCCTAGGGACGTGAACTCAATTTTACTACTGATTTTGGCACTGCCAACAAATGACTCAATGGATAAGTGAATGAGCCAGTCACAATACTAGACTTGAACATAAAGTGTGGGAATCGGGTATATCAAAAGGCATTGATATTCAAGGTGCTATGGAAATGTCACTACACAAATTGTTTTTAAATTTTCAACCAATGCCACAACCTGCCATGCCAAGAGCCCCCACAGTATGACCTAACTCATCTCTATTATTTCTCTCTTTATTCCTCTAAGTAATTATATCTCAAGCCTGGCTGTACATTAGAATCATCTCAAAACTTTAAAAAAAAAAAAAAATTAAAACAAGAACAACAACAATAACAACAAAAAAAAAAACCTCAATTCCCCAAAACTCTGAATCAGCTAGTCTGGTTTAGTGCCTGGACAGCTATTTCTTTAAGTCTTAACAGGCAAAGATTCTAATATGCAGCCAGGAGTGATTTAAACTTACTTTATGCTATCTTCCAATTATAATTCTTTGTGTTCCACAAATTCACCCGGAACCTTCCTACCTCTATATGCTTCTGCATGCTGTTTCCTTTGCTTCAATTGTACGCTGTTTGTATCTCTTATGACACTTATAATATCTGGCCTCATATTAGATCTGGATTTTTTTCCTCTTCCTCTCATACTAGATGTTAAGTTTGCTGAAAGCAGGGATGATAATTTCCTTATTTTTGTATTTCTCATAGTGTGTAGGAACATGCATAGCATTTACTCAATATCTTTACTAGAGAAAATCATATAAATCAACAAATAATTAGAGGTGTGACTACCTGCTGCCTCACCCAAATCACTAACCACATTAAAAAGGGGACAGGAAGGCCAGTTAATTGAATGACTCATTTGAGAAACATACCGAAAACATACTCCAGAATATAAAAAGAATACTTATGTACTGGCTACTTGGGGTGTTCACATTACCAATGTGGACTGTTTTGTTTTTGAAAGAAAATCAAAATTTTTAGACGCAAAACTCATTTAAGAACTTTTCTGGGTCCACAAGGATAAATAATTATAACTAGCTTTACTTAATCTTACTGTAATGATTTGAAAAAGAAAAGTATATTCTCCAATTCTGCAAATAAAGCTCAATTTTACAGCATAATTTAATGTCAGAGCAGTTAGGAACATGCTACCAAAAAATTTCACTGGGTCAGGGGTGGTGGTTTCTGCCTGTAATGCCAACACTTTGGGAGGTCAAGGCAGGTGGATTACTTGAGGTCAGGAGTTTGAGACCAGCCTGGCCAACGTGGGGAAACCCTGTCTCTACTCAAAAAATACAAAAATTAGCAGAGGTGGTGGCGCATGCCTGTAGTCCCAGCTACTCGGGAGGCTGAGGTGGAAGAATCGCTTGATTCCGACAGGCACAGGTAGCAGTGAGCAAAGATCACACCACTGCACTCCAGCCGGGGCAACAAAACAAAAAAAACCCTCTCAAAAAAATAAAAAATTCACAGAACTATATAAAAAGCAAACAAACTTGCAACATAAGCAACATGAGATAATATGCATAAAGGGAAAGCATTTCACACTATGTGGATAACAAACTCTAAACTATTTTTATGGCCTAAGTGGTCAAGGGAACTACTATAAACTGCGCCTTGAAAACATAAGCTTGATGTATAGCTAAGACTTCAAAAGTCAGTCAAATCCTAGAATTTATCTGGAAAATATCTGGAGGAAAATACCATCTTGCTAACCTTACTAATCATTTATTAAGCAGTTACTATTTGCTAGGCACCTGCCAGGCACTGAAGATTCACAGACAGACAAGGCACAAATATGTGAAGATATAATAGTAATACTCCCCCTTCATCTCTTACATTCAGTTAAAACTATTGTAAAAATTAAAAAGCTATAAATAATGCTCTTTGCTAATAACTTGGTTGGCAGAATCATATTATTTTTACAAGTTACCTTTAATTTAAATTCAAGCTGGGGTAAAACAGAGAGCAGCAAATGACTATCAATATTGTAGAGCTCCAAAATTAAGTCAAAGACATGCTCTGACAAATCGCTGATAGATGTTTTCCCAAGCATCAGAACCTGATTAAAAAACTTTTGAGAAAGAAAGCCTATCATTAGTAGAAAAACCAGAGACAAGATGAATGTTTTCAAAATCGTAATTATTTGACCAAATTCATCATTATTTTATACAAAATCAAATCAGGCATATCAAAATATTTTCTAACATTACATGGGAAACCAGTACAGGCTACAGGAAAAGATAAAACATGGAATCCATCTTGTATACAATAAAACAGACCGAAACATTTCAATAAACATTCTACTTTTCAAATATACTCTGCTCCCCATTATAATACTGACTATATTCTATCCTATATTATTATTTGTGTATATTTCTGGATGGTTAATTTTATGTGTCAACTTGACTGTATTAAGGAATACCTAGAGAGCTGGTAAAGCATTGTTTCTGGGTGTGTCTGCAATGATGTGTTTGCAGAGGAGATTGGCTTGTAGACTTAGTGGGAAAGATCTGCCCTCAGTATGGGCAGGCATCATCCAAATAGGCTTGAAGGCCCAATAAGGCAAAAGGAAGTGAATTCACTGTCTTCTGGATTGGGACATTCATCTCCTATCCTTGGACAGCAGCACTCCAGGTTTTCCTGCCTTCAGACTCCAGAAACTGCACCAGCGGCCCAGTCCCCTGCTAGGTTCTCAGGCCTTGCCTTCTGCCTCTGAGAGTAACACCACTGGCTTCCCTGGTTCTCCAGCTTGCAGACAGCCTACTCTTGGACTTCTCAGACTCTGTAATCTCATAAGTTAATTCCCCTAATAAATTCCGTCTCATACATATACATGTGTCTCTCAGTGTGTGTGTGTATTTATACACTATGTGTGAATATACACACACATATATGTGTATGTGTGTCTGTATATACATACACTCACTCACTATTGGCTATTTCTCTAGAGAACCCTGACTAAAACAATGTCTTAATCTCCCCAAGAGTGAGGGAAAATAGCTTGTTCACCTTAGTACATACAGAAGAAAACATCATCCCATAGATACAGCCTTCTTACATTTTCATAGATGGCAATTCTATGTTTGAAATATGTAATTTTTTACTTCTGATGAAAAACTACCTCTTTCTAATCCTTTGTCTTCTTTTACGTTCTGATGTGTACATATCTACAGGGTTTACAACACTAATTAAAATCCAATTAAAAGCACACACAAACACAAGGAAAATCCAAATTTAAACAATTTTTCCCTACCATATAGCTCACTCTAACTAGTTTCCACACTCAGATCATTTATCATATTACTACTGAAATTGGTAAAGACGCATGGCATAACTGTCAAGTTCTTTTCTATTTAAAACTTTCCAAAAACATAAAAAATTAACCAAAAGCATACCCCGCCATATATCCTGCATGGTTTCCTGAGTCTCAGGGGAGAAGGAGTCAAGGATTCTTTATACCATGCAAGCTGCCCTAATCTCTTCTGTGACAGTTAACACACAACTGGCTTGATTACACTTTAACTTTCTATACTGAGAGTACAAAGTGGAGGATTTCATATTTCTATGTCTTTTCTGCTTACTTTTACTTCTTGTGTTGTTTTTATGTGACTTTTGAAGAAAGAAGAACAAATTCTATTTTGCTATTCTTTCTTTATTAGTTTTAAAACGAACTTGTTTGTCCTTCCTATTTATCAATTTTATAGGAAGAGAATTTCATGACATCAAAGGTTAAATTCTTACTCAGGCTGAAAATAAAGTGGCTTTTTTGCTTCTATTCACAAATTTTCTCCTGCTTAACATATAGTAAAATAAATACTACCTATTTAATAAATAGTATTTTCCTTAATAAAGAACAAAAACCCTTCCCAATCTCACCATCAAAGTGGTCGAACCATCATCATCTTCTAACAGTCTGGGAAAAACTTATTTGAAAAATTAAGAAAAAAAATCATTCCCTGGTTTAATTTCTCACAAATTCCATTAAAAAACATGTGTTGAACACTTTTATAATCTCCAAAAAGACAATGACCAAGTTGGTCTTCTCCAGTGTGTAAAAGCCTACCTAGCACAGTGCCTGATACAGAGGAGGCACAGAATATATGTTTGGTAAATGAATAAAAAATATGCAAAAGACAGTATGATACAAATATGGGTAAAACAATCCGAGCCCTTCCTAAGGGCTGAAAATTTAGTGGAGGCAGATTTAAAGTTGATTAAAATATTTCCTTCCTAAAATTCTTTCATTTACAAATGGGTGATTATATACTACAAATTAATTTTTTTGTACAGCAAATGCCTCCTAATGAGAGATGTCACCAGTCAGTAATAAATTCTACCTTAATTATACATAAATTATAAAAAATTATTAATAAATTCTACCTTAAATATACATGGCTAATTTTAAATACAAAGTGCTTTCACATTAAATAACACATTCTCTACCACCACCCAAGCATTACAGGTGCAAAAACAGAGGCTCAGTGGAATTAAGCAATTTAACCAAATTTTACCTATTCCAACAAGGATTGGATGTACTTTTTTCAGTCCAACAAAATAATTTTTTGCCATATCCTAAAATTTGTGATAGAAAAAAGAACTGGTGAAAAATAACATCATTAAGAATGATGCATGTAGGAAATTTTTAGAATTATCACCATGTACTTTTTGTTCTTGATATTCCATTTTACTTTTTAAACAAATATATATGTGCTGCTCAGCTTCCTAGGTTGTTGTGTTACAACAAATTCTATTTTAAAAAAATAACCTAGGCTGGGCATGGTGGCTCACGCCTATAATCCTAACACTTTGAGAGGCTGAGGCAGGAGGATTGCTTGAGCACAGCAATTCAAGAACAGCATGGGCAACATGGTGAATGAAACTCTGTCGCTACAAAAAGTTTTTTAAAAAAGGAGAAATTTGCCAGACATGGTGGTTCATTCCTGTAGTCCCGGTTACTCAGGGGGCTGAAGTGGGAGGATCACTTGAGCTTCAGAAGCAGAGGTTGCAGTGTGCCAAGATCACACCACTGAACTCCAGCCAGGGTGCCAGAGCAAGACTCTGTCTCAGACAACAACAACAAAAAAATTAATAAATAAATAACCTATACTACCACAGTGATTTCTTAAGTCTTGATATGTAAGAAACACTATCTATTAAAAAGAAAAAGAAAAAAAGAATGTGTCTGTATGTGTGAATGAAAACCAGAAAAGAGAGAGAAGTGGGGTTATTATCTCAGTATCTTACTCCTATTTTTACTTGCTCATTCTCAACTAGGAAGATCAGTAAATAATGGCTTTTTCAACTGTAAGTCCAAAAGGGCTAAGAATGATTTCTAACACTGAACTAATTTTACCCTACTACAAGACAATTAAGTTCACTAGAAAGTGATTTTATATGTAATTATAAAAGTTTGAAATGGAAACCTAAGCAGACATAAAGGAACTAAAGGGAGGGAAAAAGCAATTCTTATTTCTTAGCTAACCTTCAAATAAGGCAAGGAATAAGAAAACAGAGAGAAATAAGAAAATAGTGGACAAGGTACCGGGAGAAAGTATATATAATTCAATGTGTGCTCAGAACACTCTGCTTGGCCCCTGCTCTCCAGCTTTTGATATAGATACAATATGAAAGTTTGGGGAGTTCACGGGGGAGGGATTCTATTTCTGCACGCAAGAATAACAGGAAATTAACACAAGGTATAAGTGATAAAGAAATGTTTTTACCTTGATGTATTCTGGGATTGTTAAAAATATTTCCTCAGCCTTTTTTTCTTTAACTTCTATTATAAATATTTTCAAAGATACAAAATTTGAGAAAACCATATAACGAACCTAATCACCTAACTCTAATAAGTTTCATCATTTATTGTGGATTTGTTCTTTTAATTGCCCCAATCAAATATTGATTTTCCCCAATCAGAGTAGAGATATCAATACGGTACAGTGATCTTTTCTTATTTTAATGCCAGAAAAAGAAACCAAAATAAGATGTGTTCCCCCCCAATTTGCCTAAAAAAAAAAGAAGAGAAAAAAAGAAACTGGCTTGGCAATATGAGTTTAAATAAATGGCCACCAGGAGGAGCTCACCTAGTGTGCTCTAATGGCCCATGCAAATAGTCATTTAGAAGTACTTGAAGCAAGGGAAAAGGATAATTACAGAATGTTTAAGTCTAGGTCTACACACTTCAAGTGCCACTAAGCCAATGATGAAAAAACTCAATCCAACCAATTTATCTCAGCCAATATCCATAGCTTAAAAACTGCAGAAACCAATATTTGAAGTTCCCTGACAATCTTGGAGCAATTAAGATAGGTTACAGAATTTGATTCCACAGCTTCTGAAAGTTTACCCTTCAAAACAATTTCCTTACAAATTAAATTAACTCTTCCAAATCATCGTATGTTTAGAATTCTCTAAGGCTATAAGCCAGAAACAAAAGCTGGAATTTATTAGGTTACTGTTTTATGAAGTATGTTAGTTTTCAAAGTACATCTTTTCATGATATATTTCATACACTGACTTTAAATTTGTGTATACTACAAGAAAAACTCTCCCTCAATAAATTTTAGGAGAATGCATAAGTAATTACTAAAGGCTTTCTTTCTTACTTTACTCAGGAATGCAAATTTATATCCTTTACTTGTCTGGAGGTGAGTGAAACTGAAAAGCAGGTGGAAGGACTGTACTGTTACACAATTCCAAGCGGCACCATTAACACTGTACTCTACATTTGTATTCTAGGAGGCACCATTCACATAGAATATAATATGAATACTGCCACCTAAATCTGTACAACTCAAAAGAACTGTGGAGAGAAAATAAAACTTACCATAAACTTCTGTCAGTGAACCTAGCAGCTAAAAAATATTTCTTCTAAAAATAAATACAAGATAGTCAATCATAAGTAAGTAGATCTGGGGTGATACTGAAAGGGCTCATTTTATTACAATTGTTCCTTTTTTTCAGAAAAGATAGATTTATATGGAATCTACCCCAGGAATAGCAATAGATAAGCAACTTTTACTAAATCACTACTGCCATTCATACTTGCCTTCAATTTCTAGGTCTTAATATTAGTTCATATCTTCTTCTTGTACAAATCAATTTAAGCTCCAAAAACCTGTAAGCAATGTCTCTGAATAATGAAAAGTTCCACATGTTTTATCTAATTACATTTAACTCTATTTCTATCAGTAGAAACAAACAGAATATCTTGCTAACCAAATTAAAACTGTTTAAGTTCTCAGGTAATTTGAAAGAAAATAAAGAACAAATAGGATGAAAGCAAGCCTTCCAAAAAATATTAAGCAAGAATAATTTTAAGAAGGAGAAAGAAAATATATTACTTAAGGGTTAAAACAACACAAATTTGTTGTTTTTAAAACTATATACTATCTGACGAAATTTTGCTTCTAGCAAGTCTTTAAATTTTCGGTTTAATCCTTCTGACAACCAATTACAAGTAAGACTTACATTGGTAATATATGGCTCAATAGCTTGAGCTGTCCTCTTCAGTAAAGCCTTTGCCAAATCATATGCTTGCTTGTTTAAATTCTGAAAAATATAAACAGTATCTATATTATATATCTCTAACATGAAAAGCAAAATATTACCTGTATTCAAAATGCTACTCTTTAGTAAATGAATGAAAAAACTAAGACTCAACTGGAATAAAAGAGAGAAGGCAAAACCACTTTTCTTTTTAAGGACTAATTGGCGTACTGGATCTAAGATTCCATCCATGTAAGGATAATTATATTCTCTTCCTATTTTGTTCATAACATAATGTAAACCACATAGAAATGGTCAATAAATGCTTATTAGATAGAGTCATTCTAGATCTAGTCCCAAAATCAAATCAGTTAATTACAAACACAGGTTGTTCCACTCCAGGTCCAAAAAAAACCAAAACATCCTAAGAGAATGAACTATGTTCTAGTGTGGGCAGCGATGGGGAACCATAGGCAGGGAAGGACAAAGGAGTTTTCAGCAGCTGTGGGAAAGCAGATTACTCAAACACATTTCAGAGCACAAGTAAGTAGAAGGATACAACAGAAAATACAACAAATAGTAAAGTATGGAGGGAAGACAACAAGAAAAAATATCATAAGAAGATATGTTTCTCAGAGACTTTGATAATGATACAAGGAAGTAAAGATAAAAAATGGAGTCACTACTCCAGTTTAAACATATTCCAGAGAACAGGAACACTGTATATATCCTTAAACTCACACTCTTTACTCAGCATATTTTTAGATTTACCTGCCTTAATGCTTGTGTTTTATTATTTCATTCATACTAACTGCTGTTTAGATATGATATACTACAGATTCTTTACTGATTCTCCTATTCACTGACATTATGTCTTGTACAAGTCTCCTTATGTAAATGAGAAGTAATTTTCTGTAAATTCTATCTTGGCCAGTTTTCAATTAGGCTGTTTAGTCTTGCTCTTATTTATTTTTAGATTTTCTCCATAGACTCTACGGACTAAACTTTCGTCAATTACAGATGTTCCTCTACTTATGGTGAAGTCACATCTCAATAAACCCATAGTAAGTCAAAATGCATTCAATAACCCAATAAACCCATCATAAAGTAAGTCAAACCATTAAGTCAGGAACTGTCTGTATATGTATAACATACCTTAGTCTATATTTGTCTTTTCACAGTATTTATGGTGTCTTAAAGTATGGAGACATTTTTCATTTTTTTTTAATTGATATGTATGTAACAATTGTGCTTATTCTGGGGGTACATGTGCTGTTTGGATACATGTATACACTGAGTAATAATCAAATCAAGGTACCTGATATATCCATCACCTCAAATATTTATGTTTTCTTTGTCCTGGGAACATTAAAATCTTCTCTTTTAGCTATTTTGAAATGTAAATTATTGTTAACTATAATTTCCCTACTGTACTATCAAATACTAGAAAGAGGCCAGGCACCGTGGCTCACACCTGTAATCCCAGCACTTTGAGAGGCAGAGGCAGGTGGATCACCTGAGGCCAGGAGTTCGAGACCAAGGCTAGCCAACATGGCGAAACCCTGTCTCCAATAAAAATAAAATGAGCTGGGCGTGGTGGCGGATGCCTATAATCCCAGCTACTTGGGAGGCTGAGGCAGAAGAATTGCTTGAACCCAGGAGGCAGAGGTTGCAGTGAGCCAAGATCGTGCCACTGCACTCCCGCCTGGGCAACATAGTGAGACTCCACCTCAAAAAAATAAAAAAAATAAAATAAAATAAAATAAAATAAAATAAAAAACTAGAAAGAACTATGCCTTCTAAGTGTATTTTTGTACTCCTTAACTTCTCTTCATTCCTCCCCTCCCCAGTTCCTTTCCCAACCTCTGATAACCACCATTCTATTCTCTACTTCCATGAGACCTTTTTTTAGCCCCCACATGAGTGAAAACGTACTTGTCTTCCTGTTCTCATTTTATATCACTTTACAAAATAACCTCTAGTTCCATCCATGTTGTTGCAAATGACATAATTTCATTTTTTTATGGCTGGAATAATATTCCATTGTATACATATACCACATTTTCTTTATACACTCATCCATTGATAGATACAGGTCAATTCCACATATTGGGTACCACAAATAGCTTTTATTTTTAATGTAATCAAATATATCAATGCTGTTCTCATACGGAGTTGCTCTCTGTATCTTTAAGAAATTCATTCCCATCTTGAGGTTAAGATGTTTATTTTCAAACAAAATTTTTAAAATTATACTTTTCAGATTTAGACCTTTATTCCACCTGTAATTTATTCTTATGTATGGTCTGAAGTAAGTATCTAATTTTTATTATTTTCCATATAAGTGCTAAACTGTCCTAAAACCATTCATTAAATAATTTCTTATTCCCTCTTTGATAATGTAATACCCACTCTCTCAGCTTCTATATAAGGATGCTTCCATTAAGAAATTCTCCATTATTTCCATATGTCCCTTTGTCTATCACTGACTGATTATGGCCAAAGGGGCACATGAAAATAATGTCAAGATTAGGTCCCTGTTTTCTTATTCTTCTTTAAAACTGTTTGGCTATTATTGGTCATCTGCTCTTTCATGTCAATTTTAGATTCATCTTGTCAAATTACACACAAGTGCACATGTTATCGGTTTCTTTCTTTTTTTTTTTTTTTTTTGAGACCGAGTCTCACTTGGTCGCCCAGGCTGGAATGCAGTGATGTGAACATGGCTCACTGCAGCCCTGACCTCCCTGCAAGCGATCCTCCCACTTCGGCCTCCCAAGTAGCTGGGACTACAGGCATGCGTCACTTCCCCAGCTAATTTTCATAGAGACAGGGTTTTGCCATGTTGTTCAGGCTGGTCTCAAACTCCTGAGCTCAAAGTGATTCCCCCGCCTTGGCTTCCCAAAGTGCTGGGATAACGAGAGAGAGCCACTGAGTCTGGCCTTGGTTTCTATTTTTGATTGAATTATTGATCAGTATGCAGAAGACTGACATCATTATGATACTGAGTCTCCCCTTCCATAAACAGTAAATCTCTCAACATATGTAGGTTTTCTATTACGCTTTTCAGTCAATTATAACAATTTTCAACATAAAGGTGATACACATTACGGTTAAATTTCTAAGTACCTTACATCTTTGTTAAAGTTACAAATGAAAAATGTTTGAAATTATGTTTTTGTATCTTATGTCTCACAACCTTCTAGAATGTTCTCATATTTTCTATAAATTTGTCTGTACACCATTTTGTGTTTTCTGCACGATCACATTTCGGTTTCGTTTCTTCTTTCTAATCCTTGTATACTGTATTTGTCTTGTCTTATTCCACTAACGTAATACACCTACTATAATGCGGATTAAAAATAGCATGCTTAAGATATGGAACCAATCTAACTGTCCACTGATGAGTGGATAAAGAAAATGTGGTATATATACACCATGAAACACTACTCAGCGATAAAAAGAATGAAATAATGTATTTTGCAGCAACTTGGATGGAGCTGGAGGCCATTATTCCAAGCGAGGCAACTCAGGAATGGGAAACCAAATACTGTATGTTCTCACTTATAAGTGGGAGCTAAGCTATAGGTACACAAAGGCACACAGAGTGATATAATGGACTACAGGGAATCAGAAGGCAGAGAAGGGACAAGAGATAAACACATTGTGTACACACTGGGTACAATGTACACTTCTCAGGTGACGGGCACTAAAAGCTCAGATTTCACCACTATACAATTCATCCATGTAACCAAAAACCACCTGTACCCCAAAAGCTACTGATATTTCAAAATATATAAATATAAATAATACCAACATTTTTTAAAGCATGTTTGCCTTTTTGCCTGAGTAGAGGCAATATTTTTACGATGTCCCTCACGTCAAAGAGAATGCTTCAACATTTCACCATTAAATACTGTAACATACATTATCTCCTTATCAGTTTAAGTTCTATTTCAAAGTTGCTAAGTTACAAATTATAATGAATTGTATCCATCTTTTTCTGTATCTATTAAAATTTGTCTTTCTCTTTGATCTATTAAACAAATATCTTAGTCTATCACTAACATTTTTAATGTTACTCCATCCTTGTATTCCTAAAATAAAGCCAATTTGGTGATTATCAATAGTATTTTAAATCATTCTGGAAATTACTATTTTATATTGGAAATCAATTAGCCTATTTTTTTTTCTTGCTTGGTTTGCACCTGGTTTCCCTAGGAAGATTATTCTCTGCTCATAAAATGAGTTATGGAGTAGTCCTTTCTTTCTATAATTTGGAAGTGTGCTGAAGGTTAGGAATATTTGCCACTTAAATGATCAACAGAAAAATCCTGGTAATGGGTTTACAGATCCTTTTGTTGTTGGTTTTAGTTCTGCTGCTGTTATTATTTTTGCTGGTGCTATCGTTGCTATTGTTGTTTGAAAAAAAGAGCTTTGTTTTATAGGCAGAGTTTTTAAAACCAACTAAAAGTATTGATTGTAGGCTATTTGTCTTGATCTTCTCTCAAGACAAATTTCCCAGGTTATATTTTCTAGGAATTTATTCTAATTTCAAATATGTTAGCATAAAATATTCCTCATGGAATTGTCTTTTGATCTTTTTCATGTTCACTGTTTCTCATTTCATTCTAAAACTATACATAGATATCATTTCCTTTTTTGTGACCGAGATTTCCAAGCATTTGCTTATTTAATACATTTTTCAAATTACTAACTTTGGGTTTTGAGGGAATGTCACTGTGTTTTCTATTTCACTAATTTCATTTCTTCACTATTTTCTTCCTTGTATAATTTATTATCATAACGTTTTTATTACTCCTTGAAATGGACATTTAGCCATGAGGTTACACTTAAAGTGTATCCTGCAAGTTTTAAAATGTATCACTTATCATTTCTAAATATTTTAACTGCCATTATGACAATGTTTTGTCAGATTATATGTTTGCTATTAAATTACTGGTTTTGTGTTTCAAATCCTATTTTTATAAACTCAGTTTACCTGATTTATAATCACTAAAATACATGTTAAAATGGAACACAAATAGTGAATTTTCTTCTTGTTAATTATGCTTGTCATTAAATTAGCAGTTTTGTGTTTGAAATCCTCAATCTTTTTATAAACTCAGTTTACCTGATTTATAATCACTAAAACACATGTTAAAATGGAACACAGGTAGTGAATTTGCTTCTTTCTGTCCATAATTCTTTCACTTTGTGTTTTATATATTTTGAGCCTGTGTGCATAGAAGTTTAGAAATCTTCCTGAGTACTGAATCTTTTCTTATTATATAAAGCTCTTCTTTATCCATTAAAGACTACTAGGTCTAATATAAGCTATCTTGGTTTTCTTTTGGTTTACACTTGCCTGGGAAGTACTTTTTCCATCCTTTTATATTTGACCTTTTGTGAACGTATTTTGGTTTTATTTCTTAGTAAAAATAACCACCCAGATTATGTTCAATCTAGTCTGAGAACCTGTCTTACATGGTAAATATAGGCCACTTACATTTACTGTAACTCTTCCTTTTATTATAATCCTTAAAATTTTAACATAAATGGTTCATTTAAAGTTCAAATTTAATAGCTCCAAATGCTCCTGATTATCCCAGGATCATATCACTTATTAATTCCATTAAACCACTGTATTTTACATAAGATTACATTTATTCTCTAACACTGCAAGTGAGAAGTCAGCAATCAGTTTAGCCTTCATTCCTTGGTAAGGGCCATGCCTTTACATTCTGGGTGCTTTATACATGATTTCTCTTTCAGTATTCCATAATTTCAGGATGGGCCAGGACAGGGATTTCCTCTATTTTTTTTTTTTTCACTCTAGTCATGGTACTTTTTCTCACTATTCCATAAATTAATGGCTTTAACCAATTCTGGAATATTTTAAGCTAACTTCTACTCGAATATCATCTCTTCTCAATTCTCTGTTATTCTGAAATCACTATTAAATATGTCAGACCTTATCTTTCATGTTTCATCTCACTGTGCCTGTATAATTTCCTCACATCTATCCCAGTTCCCTAAATATCTTTTACATACAATTCAATCAAGGTTTCTATTTCGGTGGCCATTTTTCCTTTTCTTTTTCTTTCTTTTTTTTTTTTTTTGAGACGGAGTCTCACTGTGTCACCCAGGCTTGAGCGTGCAGTGGCACAATCTCGGTTCACTCTAACCTCCGCCTCTCAGGTTCAAGCAATTCTCCTGCCTCAGCCTCCTGAGTAGCTGGGATTATAGGCGCACACTGCCACGCCTGGCTAATTTTTGTAATTTCAGAAGAGACAGGGTTTCACCATGTTGGTTAGGCTGGTCTTGAACTCCTGGCCTCAGGTGATCCACTTGCCTTGGTCTCTCAAAGTGCTGGGATTACAGATGTGAGCTACTGCACCCAGCCATTTTTCATTTCTAATGAGTTTTTCTACTAATTTTCTCCTTTAATATGTCTAGTTCTTTACCTCTTAAACATTTTATCATTAATCCTTTCAAGAGTATTTATAATTTTTTAAAAAATTTTGTCAGAATGTTTTATTCAGTGTCATTCGCTAAACTGCAAGGAGCTATGCAAGTTATGCAAAGGGCTGCAAAACAGTAATTGCCTTGAGAAATTTCCACCCTAAGCTAAATGGACTAAGCAAAGATTGAATCCATAAGTACTTGGTTTACTAGATCCTACGATTCTAGTTTCTGGAAGTACCTACAGGTCCTCTCCCCACAACAAGGCCAAAGAGAAAATGTGTAATCAGGAAGGGTGGGTTTATTTTCCCCAACAGTCTTCTCCATGACAATGGATGGATGGAGACCTCAGATGGCTCTGGTAGTCAGCTGCTCAGTGCAGAAAGCCAAGCTAGATACTGGATTTGTGTCTAGGAGGGTTTGTCTTGGCACAGTTGACAAGTGGATGAGGGTTCCAGAGAGCTAGGCTGAGAGTCCAGTCAGGCACAGCCCATTTGAAAGGCTTAGCAGGTCTCCCCCTGGGAATTCAGCCTTCCTCCCTAGGGCATTCTGTGGCTAGATTCATAACCTCTGTCTTCTCACCTGAGCACACAGGCAGTAGAGTTTGTGGCATCAGGACAGGTGTTCGTTTGTCCAGGGGAAGTCACTAGCTGGGCCCCAGGCTGATTTTTAAAAATGGATTAACAGGGATTATAACTAGATATGGGCACCAAGGTGAAGGAGACAATGGGACAAGCCTCTGCAGATCTGCTTGCCAGCTTCCCCCTTCCCTCTTGTGGTCACCAGAGGCAGAAGTGAGGCTGGTCTGGGTAGTCAGCACATGGTGTGCTCCATTCAGAAGGTGCAACAGGAAGGAGTGAGGGGTGGGAAAAGGAGCAAGATGGCAGCTGACTAGGAACCCACAGCACACCAGGACCTGTGAATTTTATTTAATAAATATATTATCTGAATTTCTGAGCTCTAATCTTGCTATTAGTAGTGTCTGCTAAGTTTCAGGATTCAGACACTGTTTTCTTTAAGAGTTTGATTTTTGAATTATGAAATCATTTTCACTCAAGCATTATTTGTGTCAATCCTGCATAGCTCTACACTGAGACTGTATCTTGCCAGAGAGGTCTTATATTTGCACAGATAATTACACTGGTGATTCCTGTCCTCCTCTCCTTAACCCACAGCCTTCTAAATTACAGAACCGTATTTCTAACTGGAGATTCAGTCATTTCCTAAAATCAAAACACAAACATACACACACACAAACACAGAAACATAACATCTTAACATCACACAGGCAAAAAACACTGTCACCAACATATACTCCTCTCCCATTTAGTAGAGACTTCCCTTTAAATTTCACTAGTCCTCTCTATCTACATTATCACCATCTTTTAGTTATGGCCCTACTCGGTTCCATCTTCTGACAAGTAAGTTATGTAACAGCATCTAAGTAGCTACTAACTCACTCCCTGAAATACACTCTATACACAACTGAATCAAAACAAATATGTTATTACATGAAATCTACAATTTCTTACTAGTGACTAAGTGTATCTTTTTATTACACATTAAACACAATAAATATGTATTAATATAACTAAACCAATAGATTCTCTAAAAGGTTAAAGCAGGATAAACCATATTTAGAACCTAAGCACAAATTTTAAGCCTTACTATTAACAGGCATTAGACACATTACAGTATATATTGTTACTCACCTTATGAGCAGGTACCAGATTTACTAAAACTGTATCCAAAAGCTCCTGAGACACTGTATCACCTTCACAAATAATAGAGCTCATAAGGTCTACCATGTGCATATGGACTTTCTGATTGTGGCCATTGCTGAAATTCAAAACAGATTTTGTTTCAATTACAACTGAGATATACAGGATTTACTCTTAAGATGATACTGACAAGCATTATGCTTCACAAAAATAATACTAAAATATTAAATAAAATTCTATGTATATTCATTTAAAGCTTCCCTCTCTCCCACATCATACAATAGTATACAAATTGTATTTTTAAGCTACATTTCTTAAATTATTTTTCCCTAATTTTAACCAGTCTCACAATCAAAAGTAATTACATCAAAAGTAACTTCAGTTCTGCCTTAAATTCAGAAAATTGAATTTCTTTGAAGTTAATTCTAGTAAATAATTTTAAAGAATACACAAAAAGCTCAAATAGCCACATGCATTAAGAAGTCAGTATGTATTTTTTATAGACAAATAATGCAATCCAAAAAGTTTTACATTGGCCTTATGCCATTCCTCTAACCAATAACTACATATAAATACAAAATCAAGCTCTATTCATTTTTGAAACATGTATAAAAATAAATTTAAGTTGTGTTAAAAGTTACATCTCTTAGCCTTCTAATATTAATTATAACAGTTTATGCAGATTCACCTACATGTTCAAAATTTGTTATCTTTTTTTAATGTTACATACTTAATAAAATAAACTTACTTTATAACTGAAAATAAGGTTCTGTATAGCTGGGTGAAAATTTCATTGCTATCTTCTAACTCAAAGCATATGTTATATGACTTGACCCAAGCAATGTTCTAAATATAAGAGGTAAAAAAGTGAAAGTTAAACATTTTGATTAGTAAAAATATATAAACAAAAAAATCAGTTTAAAATGTCATCTCGAGATACAAGATATTGCTTACCTCAAGTAAATAAAAATACCTATTGAATTGTGGGCTCTTTGTGTCCTCTAGCCCCTTCAACTGTCTTGTTATAAACATAAATATATCCTTAAATAAAAAAAAGACAAAGTGCCATTCAGATTATGAACACTAAATGAAAATATCCATGAAATCCCTAGAGTTTATTCAGCACTCATGTATGCATATCATAATAAACTATAAAGAGCCAGAAAAAATTTGTATTTGGCTAAAATTTTTTTAAAGTACATCTCTGTATGAACAACATTAAATATCTTACATTAAATATCTTACTATCCTTCATAGGAAAACAGTAAATCATTTACCATAATCTTAAAGTCAAAAAACTTCATCTTACAACAAAAGATAAACAAATAGACCTGAAAACTGAGACAGCTAAAATTTATGCTATTTTTAGAATAAAAAGTGTTGCAATGACTGAGAGCTGATCGGGTTTCCTGGAACAGCAAAATATATGGTAATTAAATAGCAAAAGCAGTTTAGGAAACAATTTTTGTAATTGCCAAATGACAATACAATAGATACCACAGAGAAGCTCAGACTCTTAGAAGTCAATTTGTCAAGCTTCCTACTAATCATTGTAATTACTTGCTTTTCCCTATCTTTCTAAATCTATTCCCATCTCATATTTTTGACTAATTTACTATATCTGCATTTGTATCTACATTTGTATACAGCAACCACACAATCAAGTCTGCATAATAACCAGCTAACAACACGATGACAAGACCAAATGAGCACATACCAATATTAACCTTGAATGTAAACACACTAAATGCTTCAATTAAAAGATGCACTGTGGTCAGTTGGTTAAAGCAGCAAGGCCCAACTGTATGCTGTCTACAAGAGACTCATTTCATATACAACAACACTGATAGGGTCAAAATAAAGCGATGGAGAAAAATCTAACAAGCAAACAGAAAACAGAAAAAAGCAGGGGTTGCTATTCTAATTTCAGACAAAACAGGCTTTAAACCAATAATGATAAAGAAGAGCATTACATATTGATAAAGGGTTCAATTAAACAAGAAAACCTAACTATCCTAAAAATATATGCATCCAACAAAGGAACACACAGATTCATAAAGCAAGTTCTTAGAGACTTATGAAGAGACATAGATAATGACACAGTAATAGTGGGAGGCTTTAATACTACACTGACGGAATTACATTATTGGGACAAACAACTAACAAAGATACTCAGGACCTAAACTCAGCATTTGACCAAACGGGCGTAACAGACATCCACAGAACTCTCCATTCAAAACAACAGAATATACATTCTTCTCATCTGCACATGGCACATACTCTAAAATTGACCACATAATAAGCCATAACAATCTTTGCAAACTTTTAAAATGTGATTCACCACATAATGATGACCACATATGTTGAAGCTGACAGCCAAATCAAGAACACAATACCAGCTGGGCACGGTGGCTCAGCCTATAATCCCAGCACTTTGGAAGGCCAAGGCGGGTGGATGGCTTGAGCCCAGGAGTTCAAGACCAGCCTGGCCAACAAGGTAAAACCCCATCTCTACTAAAAATACAAAAAATTAGCCAGGCATGGTGGCATGTGCTTGTAGTCCCAGTTACTCAGGAGGCTGAGACAAGAGAACTGCTTGTACCCAGGAGGCAAAGATTGCAGTGAGCCCAGATCGTGCTACTGCACTCCAGCCCAGGTGACACAGCCAGACTCTGTCTTAAAAAAAAAGAAAAAATACACACACACACACACACACACACACACACACACACACACACAAAAACACAATTCCATTCACAACAGCCACAAAAAGAATACCTAGGAATACAGCAACCCAGGGTGCTGAAAGATCTCCACAAAAAGAATTACAAAACACTGCTCAAAGAAACCACAGACGACACAAACAAATGGAAAATAATTCCATGTTCATGGATAGGAAGAATCAATATTACTAAAAAGGCCATGCTGTCCAAAGAGCAATTTACTGAATGAAAAGCTATTCCTATCAAACTACCAAGGACATTCTTCACAAAATTAGAAAAAAACCATTTTAAAATGTCTGTGGAACCAAAAAGGACCCCAAACAGCCAAGGCAATCCTAAGCAAAAAAAAAAAGAAAAAAAAGAAAGAAGAAAAAAAAAACAAAGCTGGAGACATCACATTACCCAACTTTAAAGTATACTACAAAGCTATACTAACCAAAACAGCATGGTACTGGTAGAAAAACAGACACACAGAACAATGGAACATAATAGAAAGTCCAGAAATAATGCTGCACACCTACAACCATCTGATCTTCAACAAAACCACAAAAACAAGCAATGAGGAAAGGACTCCCTATTCAATAAATGGTGCTGGGATAACTAGCTAGTCATATGCAGAAGACTGAAACTGGACCCTTTCCTCAAACCATATACAAAAATCAACTCATGATGGATTAAAGACTTAAATGTAAAACCTTAAACTATAAAAACCCTGGAAGATAACCTAGGAAACATCATTCTGGACATAGGACCTGGCAAAGATTCCATGATGAAGATGCCAAAATCAACTGCAACAAAAACAAAAATTGACAAATGAGACCCTAATTAAACTAAAAAGCTTCTGTACAGCAAAACAGTTAAGAGACAACCTACAGAGTGGGAGAAAATATTTGCAAACCATACATCAAACAAAGGTCTAATATTAAGAATGTATAAAGAACTTAAACAATTAACAAGCAAAAAACAACCCCATTAAAAAGAAGGCAGGCCGGACGTGGTGGCTCATGCCCGTAATCCCAGTACTTTGGGAGGCCGAGGTGGGCAGATCACAAGGTCAGGAGTTTGAGACCAGCCCAGTCAACGTGGTGAAACCACTCTACTAATACAAAAATTAGCCGGGCGTGGTGATGGGCGCCTGTGATAAAAATTACTGGGGAGGCTGAGGTAGTAGAATCACTTGAACCTGAGAGACGGAGGTTGCAGTGAGCCAACATTGCACCACTGCACACCAGCCTGAGCAGCAGTGCAAAACTCTGTCAAAAAAAAAAAAAAGACGGGAGAAAAGAACATGAAGAGACCTCTTTTCAAAACAAGAAGATATACGTCATGGCCAACGTGCATATCGAAAAACTGCTCAACATCACTGATTAGACGAAATGCAAATCCAAAAACCACAATGAGATTTCATCTTACACCAGTCAGAATGACTATAGTAAAAAGTAAAAAAAAAAAGTAAAAAAAAAAAACAA